TACTGTTTTTCTCTTTCAGGTTATTTCTTTTCCTTTACCTCCCTGTTTCCTTTCCATTATCCTGGTTCCTATAGTTATGTTTGGTTGCATACTTATTTATCAGAGTCTGGTTCTAGGATCCACATATGAAGGAGAACATTTTTTCATTTATTTTCTAAGTCTGTGTTACTTCACTTAGTATAACAGTTTCTAGTTCCATCCATTTACCTGCAAATTTCACCCTGATTTCATTTCTTTACTGCTGAGTAAAACTCCATCGTATGAATGAACCACATTTTCATTATCCAGTCATTAATTGAGGGACACTCAGGTTGCTTTCATCTCTTAGCTACTGTGAAAAGAGCACCAACAAACATGGATGTACATGTGTCTCTACAATAGAATGAGTTATTTGGGTATATGCCAAGGAGTGGTATACCTGGGTCAAATGGTAGGTTCATTTGTAGTTTTTTTTTTTTTAAGAATTCTCCACACTGATTTCCATAGGAGTTGAACCAGTTTGCAGCCCCACCAGCAGTGGATGTGTTCCCCTTTCCCCACATCCTCGACAACATTTGGTATTATTTATAGTTTTACTGATCTTAGCCAGTCTGACTGGGGTGAGGTAAAATCTTAAAGTGTTAAAACCACTTTAAGATTTCATTTTCCTAGTTATTAGTGATGCTGAACATCTTTTAAGATGTTTCATAGCCATCTTTACTTTGTCTTTTGAGAACTCTCTGTCCAGCTCCTTAGTCCATCTTTTAATTGGGTTGCTTCTTGTCTTGGTTCTCTGTTTTTTGAGTTCGTTATAAATTCTGGTTATTAAACCTCTGCCGGATGCGTCGCTGGTGAAGATTTTCTCCCATTCTGTGGGTTTTCTGTTTGCTTCTTTGGTTGTTTCCTTTGCTGTACTGAAGCTTTTTAATTTAATGAGGTCCCATTTGTTAATTCTTGCCCTTGTTTCCTGAGCAATCGATGTCCAATTTAGAAAATCCTTTCCTACGTCTATATCTTGTATGTTTTTCCCAATGTTTTCTTCTAATAGTTTCAGAATTTCAGGCTTTACATTGAGGTCTTTGAGCCATTTGGAATTGACTTTTGTGCAGGGTGAAAGATAGGGGTTTAGTTTCTTTCTTTTACAATTGGAGATCCAGTTTTGCCAGCACCATTTGCTGAACATGCTGCCTTTCCTCCAGTTGATGTTCTTGGCCCCTTTGTCAAATATCAGGTGGCTGAAATTTCATTTGCTCATATTTGGGTCTTCAGTTTTGTTCCATTGATCTATGGGTCTATTTTTGTGCCAGTACCATGTTGTTTTCATGACTATAGCTCTGTAATACAGCTTGAAATCTGGTATTTCCCCCGGCATTGCTCTCAGTGTTCAGGGTTGTTTTGGCTATCAGAGATCTTTTGTTCTTCCATATATATCTTAGGATAGTTTGTTCCAATTCTGTGAAAAATGTCATGGGGATTTTGATTGACATTGCATTGAATCTATATATGACTTTTGGTAGGATGGTCATTTTCACAATATTAATTCTTCCAATCCATGAGCATGGGAGGTCTTTCCACCTTCTGATGTCTTCCTCAATTTCTTTCTTTAAAGATTTAAAATTTTCATTGTAGAGGTCTTTAATGTCTCTGGTCAGGTTTACTCTGAGTGTTTGAATTCAGTCTGACCTGAAATAGGACCACATTATGATCTTTGGATCTTCATATTGAGAGTGATGAGTGTCTGAGTGACATGCCATCATATATGTATCAGGGACAATCTGGTAGTCTGAGTTAAATGGACACACTAATCTTGGAATGACAACTGAGTGACACCCTGTGAGATCTGCTGCATGTCACTGGATTGACTACCTGTTAATCTAGCTTGGGTTCATTCCTTGTAGTGAATTTGCTATCTATTTTTTTCCTACTCTAACCTTTTTTTTTACTTCTAGTGAATACCGAAAGCCTTTTGAGGAAATGACTTATGGATAAACTGATTTGCCAGATCACTATGCTTGTTTAAAATACATAAATTAAGTTTCATGTTTAAGATGGACTAATGACCCTTTCTTCTGTCAGTGAACATGCTTCACTGTACAGATTCATTAGTTCTAATCATATATGTAAATTAATTGGAAAATCAACTGCAATATGTATTCTGAATGATTTTTAAGTGGTTATTCACATATCTTGGAACCTTGTTTAGCTTCAGTCTGTATGGTATGGCTATAACTGTCTTTTTATGTATATAAATGCTATCTCTTGTCTACCATTCAGACTACTCACAATTTTTAACTTACTTCTAGAAGCTGGCAGTAATTGCTTAGGATTAGTTGGAAAAAGTTCTTCTTTCTCCTATTCAGAATCTCTACTACATTATAGAAGTGGAAGGGGATTGCCAAGTTCCTCAGCACTAGTGTTATCAGCCTCAGACCACAGCCAAGCCTCTAAGCTAAACAAGAATGAAGTAAAACCAAGACATTAGATTTGTATTTTTTTCCGGTTGAGAACCAGGGAATATATGATTTAATTCACTCTTTGTAAGAGTTATCACAGCTAACTGACTCTCTTTTTATATTATTTGTTTTAAAAGCTACTCAGTAAACTGTGGCTTATTTCTTTCTAGACAAAGATGAATGCTCTAAGGATAATGGTGGCTGTCAGCACGAATGTGTCAACACAATGGGAAGCTACGTTTGTCAGTGCAGGAATGGATTTGTGCTTCACGAAAACAAGCATGATTGCAAGGAAGGTATGGGAAGGGATATTCTCCTTTACAGCAATCTCATCTTGCATATCTTTGAGTAAAACAATGTTTCTAAGGAGATAATCTTATTAATGAATGGTATTGTCATTGACTATTAAAGCTCAAAAAATAAGAGTAAGGAATCCTTTGTGATGTTTAACTATTTAAAACATGTTTTCAGAAAGTTCATTAAATGATGTGAGAGATTTGCACTTCACATAGGGTTGGTGTGAGAATAACTTTATATAACAAAGAAGCTGCTACAGGGACATTTGGCAGGCCAAAACAATTACCACGTGATCCCCAGGTCTTTATACAGCGGACCTCATTATACTATCCACATAGAAACCTCTTCAAAATGCTTTGTACTTTGTGTAATGTTCATCTCCCGAATAGCTCCCATGTATGCTTCATAGAGCGATGTGCCTTGAAATACAAGGAGAATCAAACTCAAATGTCTACCAGATGAGAGACATTTAAAAATGGTAGACACTGTGCCATTTAAAATTTCAAACAATGGTTTTAGTAGCTTGATGATAACTTACTAGGTTTTGTCCCCATCAATTAAAACCACAATGATTTCTTCTTTGAGGCTCTATTACGGAATCTCTTACTTAGATTAGAGGCATGCTTCTTTTGAAAGAACTATTAAAGGAGATTTTATGATTGTCATTAACAGAGTAGATTAGAAGAATCTGTCTAAAATTGTATCTACATGATGAGCTTTGTACACATCTTAAAATCATAAATAATATCTTTATCTGACCTTCCATTCACATAGAACCATATCAGTGGCATTTTTTTTTTGTTTGTGCAGAATCATATGCAAGCAAAACTTTTTCTTCTACATTCATTCACACGATGTTTATAACTTGATAGGATATGCTACTAAATCAAAGAGTGTAACAAAGTGCCTAGTGTTTTTGTAGACATAATTTAAAGAAAACAAAACAGATTTTGCAGAGTACGTGTGTAACCCACACTCAAAGTCTCTGTTCATGGCTGTAGCTTCCTGGAAATTGTTTATAGAAAATCATCCTTTAGCGAGGATGGTTTCCACTGTAGCTTATTTTTATTGCAAGGAAATGGGCTGAGTTTTCCTTTACTTGTGCAGGAGAACAAATGCTTTGCACAGCTCAGCAGTGAGAATCTTTGACTTCGGCAGAGGTCATCGCAGGTCCCTCAGATGCCACATTTCCAGAGCAAGGCCAAAACATGGAGACTGGAAATCAGGCTTCAGTTCAGAATTTTCATCTTTCTGTAGTGCTGGACTCCATGCATGCTAGGGAGTGCTCTACCACTGCGCTACATATCCAAACCTCCAGCCTGTTAAAGCCATATAGTCTCTCTGTCTCTGTTTCTGTCTCTCTGTCTTGCTCTCTCTCTCTCTCCCCTCTCTCCTTTGTATTCCTCTATTGAAAATCACAATCTTCCTATGAAGACACAGAATTATTAAGAAGAAGGTGTATTAGAAAGGAAGGAAATAATGGCTGCAACAGGAATTACCCTAATTTCTGTTGGGAGTGGGATCTTAGAGAGCCCTGCGATGCAACACATGTGTTATGCACACAAGAAAGACTTATCAGATAGTCTTACGGCAAAGTGACACTATTTGTGAAAAATGCAAAAGAAATATCATGGCAATTTAACTCATTAGTTATTGACAGTCACTTCAGAGGCTGTCTTCAAGGCTAATAGTGATTTTATTATTTTTCTCCATATAGTTTAATTCTGTTTTGATGACATCGAGGTTAATTTATTTTCCAGATTAAATTATAGTTTAGGCATTCAAGTATTTCCTTAACTAAAAGAGAGAGAAGTATATTAATGCTCAATTCATAGAATGCTTTCTTGGTTTTAATTAGCCATAAATGATTTTTCTATTGATAGTAGAGAAAGAATTGCAAATTGCACAGTCCATTGATTTTTGTTTGTGCTGATGTAGTACATATTTTGCCCATATCCAGTGTTGCTAATACCAGTGTTTCAATGTACATTGCTCTACTAAAATCTGAGCTTATGAATCCAACCACTTAAAATAGCAGTTCATTTTCTTTTAGGCATTTATCTGATTTAGGGTAAATACTTATTTCCAGTGATGCAGACTACAAACACTGTCTGATTATGCTCAGCAACATATCTTCCAAAGCAGATGAAATGGTAACAGCGAGATGATTAGCTAGTGTGCAGGAAAACCCGAGTGGGGGCAAATAGTCTCCTTGTTTTCTGACGAAACGTTGAACTACATTCCCACACTGACTGATACCATCGTTATTGGCACAGCTGAGTGTGAACAGAAGATCCACAGCCCAAGTGGCCTCATCACCAGTCCCAACTGGCCAGACAAGTACCCAAGTAGGAAGGAGTGCACATGGGAGATCAGCGCCATTCCTGGTCACCGCATCAAATTAGTAAGTGATCCCACCATTCCTTGTATTAGGCCAACTGCCCATATCTTTCAGAGCCTGTCCACAGTGTAAAGGAAAGAATTTTTGACTCAGCTGGATTAAGTCAATAGCCAAATGGAAAATATTTTCCTGTACATTCCTTCCTACTTCCATGAAGCAAATGTTCAGTTTCCTAGTTCAAGGTCAAAGCCACAATGCTCTCCCCAAGGCCTCTTTAAAAGGCATTATCAAATTTCTGCACATTTTAGACTTTGCTTCCTAATGTTACTGGTAACGATGTTTACAAATAGGAGAATAAATGACAAAACAAGAACTCAGAAATTCAGCAAGAAAATAATACACTAATTTTTCACCTAAGCATGTTATAAGTATTCTACTGAATATACCAATTCTAAATATGCCTTATAGATAGAGCATACTTGTTTAAGAGATAGAGGCAATTTTGTATTGAGTTTTGAATATAATTTTCAGATAATCTATTGCTCTATTGCTCTTAATATTGGAATTCTTTTTTCCTTATATTTTCTTACCTTTCTACCTATTTGACCGATTCAAATATAATTATAAGTTGGTATTCCCCCCTATATTTTCTGAGTCTTGCCCATTCTGGCCTGGTCACCTGATGATAGTAAATGCTAGATTTTTTTCATAAACTATAAATTCTACATAGTATATATTTTAAGAAACTATAACTAATAGGGTATAGAAATGTAAATGTTTCCTTAAATATGCTATGTTTAGAAGTAGAAGGGATTTCTTTTTTTAATTTTTATTTTATGTGTATGCGTGTATTACCTGCATGTAGGTAAGTGCTCCCATGTTGTGCAAGGCCTGTGGAGGTCAGAAGAAGCTGTCGGATCCCCTGGGACTGGAGTTACGGACAGTTGTTAGCTGCCAGGTGGATGCTGGGATTTGAACCTGGATCTTTTGCAAGAACAACCAGTGTTCTCAAGTGCTAAGCCATCTCTTCATCCCCAGCAGGAGGGATTTCTAACCAGAAAAGCTCAGAACAATCTAGCAAGTACTATAGTGAAGAACAAAAAACACTTAAAAATGAGGTTGTTTAGCTAAGATAATTAAAGTTCTCATCTAAAAAGTTAACCCAAAAGGTTAATTTTTAAAGTAACCTCTTTGGATCTTTCCTGTCAGTGATTTTTTTTTCTTTTTATTTCTTTTCTTTTGGGGGGGGTTGTTTTTGTTTTTGTTTTGCCAATAAAAACATCCTATTCAATATGACAATAAAACGAAACCAGATTCAGTGACAACAGAATCATATTCCTGTGGTGGGACTTTTTCTATGTGCCATACTTATAAGCGATCTTCCAAAATAACGACATCCTAGTCGCTAAGAAGGACGCTGGATGCTGAGAGGGCAGCACTGTGCTCTTAGTCCTGTCCAAGGTCCTGATTGACAGTATAGCTCTGTGTCCTAAGAGATGAATACAGAGGCTACCTTCTCTCTAGCAAAGCCATTCAGTTAGTGGAGTTGGGAAATGGATTTTCCTGATCACATTTACTGATAGAAATTGAATTATTTTCTAAAATTATAGCCCATCTCTCTGAAGAACATAATTTTATGCTGAGCACACAGCACACACAGTATCATTTTGAAAGATTTGGGATTTTTATTTTATGAGTCTCTCTTTAGTTGGAGCTGGCCTGGGTGGGACTCGCTATGTAGACCAGGCTGGCCTCAATCTCGCAGAGATTCACCTGCCTCTTCCTCCTGAAGGATGGGATTAAAATTGTGTGGCATCACTGCCAGTTTGAAAGATGTTTTAATGGGTAGAGTTCTAGTTCTAGGACAACATTATTTTCCTTCCTTTACTTAATAAACATGTGACTTAATTTTTTCTGGCTTTCATACTTTCTTATGATATTTTAAAATTTTGTGTTTATTCTTGAATAAATAATATTTTTCTTATGGTTACCATCAAATTTTTCTTCTTTTAAACTGGTCGTCTGAAAAGTAATTTGTTTAGGTTTGTTAGTCTGTATATGATTGTCTGATTAGTGATTTTTGTGGTACTAAACTTTTTACAAAATTCTTTGAATTTATTACATTTGATTTTTGCCTTTTATCATCAGTTTTAAAAGGTATTTATTTACCTAACTCCTCAGTACATTGTGCCTCTTTATCTGGGATCCAAATGACACATTTTGTATTATCCCATGACTGTTGGATGTTCTGCTAAACTTTTGTCACTTGACTGGTTTTGAGTTTACATTTGAGTGATTCCTACTGGGATATATCCAAGTTCAGTGACATCTCTTCAGCTCTACTGGATCTCCTGAAAGCTTATCAACACTATTTGTTTATTTATTTTTTCCTAGCACTTGCATTTAGGTCATTGCCACAGTTCCATCTGTGTTAGTCTGTTTGCATTAGCATGACAAAAGACTGGATAATTATATAACAAAAATTAATTTCACATACAGAGACTAGAAGTCCAAGTCCAATTTGCCTGTGCTGTCTGTGTCTGATGTGGCCTCTTTTCTTGGTTTGTGCAAGATTACCTTCCCTCTGTGTCCTCGCAGTTTTCCTTTTCTGATTTGTGTGTGTGTAATACGTTAGTGTGTGTGTGCTTGTTAGTGTGCCTGTGGTGGTATGTGTGCCTCTGTGTGTCTGAAGATGAGAAGACAATCTATGTCATTCATTGCCTTCTCATCTCTCATGAGACAGGATCCCTTACTCCCTGTGTGAGACTGTCAATTATGCTTCCCAGTAAGGGAGTTCTGAGATTACAGATGCTCACATTCTCCATGTGGCTTTTATCTGGGTTCTGGGGATTTGCCCTCAAGTCATCAAGTTTGTGCAGAAAGTGCTGTTATTCACTGAGCCATTGCCCTGGCCCACATAATTTTTTTCTTGTTTTAATGTAGAAAGAGAAGCTCCAATATCTTGTAACTGTTTTTATAAAGATTCCAGCCCAATGTCATTAGCATTCTACCCTTTTAGTTAAATTAACCTACTATTTAAAGGCCTTCTCCATTATCCCCAAATATAGCTACAGAGTCAGTTAATCACAGAAACTAGAACTTTAACTTTTTGTTTCTTTTTTGTTTTTAAGACAGGGTCTCATTATGTGACCTAGGCTGACCCAAAACTCCCTATATAGCCCAGACTGGCCTAGAACGCACATAAATCTTCCTGCTTCTGGTTCCTGAGTGCTGGAAGTAAAAGTGTGTACAACTATTCCCAACAAAAGTTCCCTTTGCATAAATAGCGAGTACTGATTTAATTGCAGAGAAATGGTGAAATGCCGTGGAATCTTTACTTTATACTGTGTTAAAGCAATTTCTCAGTTTTAGGTCTTGCATTTAATCCATTTTGATTTTGATGCATTTTTTTTTGTATCTGGTGTGAGATAAAGGCTTACTTTTCCTCTTCTGCATGCAAGTATCCAGTATTTTCAACAATGTGTGGCAAAGAACCTGTTGAGTGTTATTGATACCTTCATTCAAAGTAAGTTAGCTCTAAAGGCATGGTTCTATTTATGGGACCTCTATTCCATTGCAATGTTCTAATGTGCCTATTTTGGTAGCATCACTATGCTCTACTGTTACTACAGCGATGCAAGGTACCATGAAGTCAAGAACTGTGACACCTCCAACCATTGCTTTTGCTCAGTTTATGGGTCTTATTTCATATTAATTTTAAGATTATTTCATATTTCTGTGCAGAATGCTGTATTTTAGCAGGATTTGGATTCAATTTATGTATAATTTAATTTTATTACTTCTTCCCTTCTATGAGCATGGGAATCTTCCCATTCAGTCATCTCTTCTTCAATTTTATAATGTATTTCTTTTACCCTCTTAGTTAAATTTTTCCTTAGTATTATATGTTTTGGTTACTGTTATAAATGAAATTTAGAGACATTCTTATTTTAGATAGTTTAGCATTCATATGTAAAACTTGTGCTGATTTTATCATGTTGATATGTGCTAAAAACACTGAATTCATTTATTGCATTTGAGTCTTTAGATTTTTGCTTATATATCATTTAAAGACATAGACACTTTCCTTAACTTGCAGGGCTTTTTATTTGTCTTTTCCCTAACTGCTGTTGCTAGGATTTCTGGTACTAGGTTGAACAGGTGGTGAGAATGGGCATCGTTGTCTTACTCCAGGTATTTACAGGAAAGGTTTAAACTCTCTTCTGTTAAATATTGTATATGCTGTGGGTATGTCATAAATAGTCTTTATTTTACTGAAGTACATTCTTTTGCACCTACCTTTTTAAGACTTTATTATGAAATTATGTTGAAATGTGTTAACTGCTTCCTATATACCTTTTGAAATGATTGTGTCATTTGTGTCCTTCATTCTGTTAATGTAATAGTTCAGTGATTTTGACATTCTTAGGATGAATTCCAATTGATCTTGGTAAATGAACTTCCTAATATGTTCTTGAATTATTTTCCTAGAATTTTGCTTATAATTTAGTGACTGTTCACTAGAGGTATTGACCTGTAGTTTTCCTTTGATGGCAGTACAAGACACGTTTCCAGATATTTCCTTTCACTCATATGGACACAAGAGGAGGGGAACTCTCACTGCAGACAATTTTATGACACTATTGAAAGGAAATTGACACTAACCTGAGTTTTTGAGATCCTTGCTATTTTTTTCTTCTCTAAATATTTAATATTTAATTTCAGTATAAAGTTGTTTTGAATGAAATTTACATAGAAAGTTGTGGATATATGCCAAAATTTCTTTCAATGGGTCTGAGATGACATTTTTTGTAACATTATGTTAATTTGTTTTATTTAAAAGACTAAAGTCTCAGGGTAATCAATGTATAGATACCCTACCAGTAACAGAGACCAGGAATCAAGAAAATCCAGTGTCAATTGTGAAGTAAAAACATTTATGCCTAAAGCATATTTTTGAACAATAATATGATAAAGTATCAGAAGTCAGTTTATTACTGATTAACAGAAATTTAAGAACTTGGGCATTATGGTATAAATGTTCTTTTTACACATTGTTTCTA